GGGGGTGGGACGTGGCGGTGGTCCCCGTCTCCAGCACCGGTGAAGCCCAGGGTACTCACGTAGTTGGTTGTCCACCAGGACTTGAGGATCAGGTACTTCTGCAGCCGTGGAGCCGTCTTCTCCTTGAACTCCTTGGCCAGAACCTCCATCTTACTGTACTTCTCATCATCCATGAGCGGGCGCACCGACTCCAGGTACTGCAGGGAGGAGGCTCGGTGTGACCCCCCCATCCCCGTCCCATCGCGGGCGGACCCCCTGTCCCCATCCCATCCCATCCCAGCCCCTTACCCGAGTGATGGTGGCCTCCACGGGGGGCACGGGGAGCTTGGGCAAAGAGGTCTGGAAGCTGTAGAGCAGGGGTTTGCGGATAGACAGCACCTTCATCAGCGCCTGCCGGACACGCGGAGAGGATGGAGCAGAGCTGCAGGACCACGGCGTGGCCGTGCATCACCCGCACACCAGCTCCTGCTGCTGGCACTGGGAGTCCTGCATGTGCCTGCTGCACCGCAGCCGGGTCCCGGCCCTGCCCGCTGCCCTGACACCCCGGCCTGGGCGGCCGCTCCTGCCTGTGCCCACCCGGGGCAGAGCTGCACGGGGCTCCCGGCCTCGCTGCCCAGTTCCTGCGGCTCCCCTGCGCCCCCGGCACCCACCGTCTCCGTGCCACGGAGCAGGCTCAGCTCATCCCCGCCGTCAGCAGCTTCGCAGCACCCTGGCACCCACCATGCTGCATGTGCCCACACACACACACGTGTGCACATGCACCCATGCACACCCATGCATGCAGACACAGGCACTCTGCACCCACGCCGCAGCATCCTCCTGCAGCCGCGCTGGCAGCACCCCACTCGGCACCACTTGCCCTGCCCGGCCGGGCCAGTGCCAGCGCTGGTGCTGGTGCCAGCTGCAGGCGCCGCTCACCACCCAGATCTTGGTGCTGCGGCTCATCTTGCCGTGGGGCTCAAACATCCAGCCGTGGTAGGAGAGGAGCAGCTTCAGCGCCTGCCGGAAGAGCAGGACGGCAGAGAGCCAGACGCCGGTGGAGAAGAGCGCGGCGCTCACCATCGTCCGGCTCTCGTAGGTCAGGAGGCGGCTGCGGGGGCAGAGGGGGTGAGGGGGGACACGATGGGCTGGGGGACATGAGGGGACGTCCCCACGGAGGGCCGTGCCCCATGCCCGTGGTGCTGAGGGACGCGTAGCGGGACCTGGGGGAGGTCCCCACGCGGGGCTGTGCCCATGGGGTAGGGATGTGTGGGGTGGGACCCCCTGGGGATGCCGCAGCTCACCACGGCCATGCCGGGGGGGCTGGGGACGTGTGGGTGGGTGCCGCTGGGAGACAGGGCAGGTGGGGCCGTGCCCATGGGTTGGGGGATGTGTGGGGAGGTCCCCACCGAGGGGCATGGCAGGTGGGACCATGCCCTTGGGTGGGACATGGGCGGTGGTCCCCACTGAGGGATGGGGCTGGGGGCCCGTGGGCTGGGGGGGAGGGGGTCCCCCCGGCCGAGCTGCCCGCGCTCACCTCTCAGGCAGGCAGCGGCG